TTATTGATAAAACGTCATTATAGATGGATCTATCGCAGTGTTTGTTAAAAAAAACTCCACTATTGTTGCTCCGAAATCGAATATATCTAGAAAATAGGGGCTCTTTATAAGATTTTGTACAGGACCCCCGAAAACCCAACCACGACCCTGAACAAAACGTCATCCGTCACATATCGAACAACACAGTCAAAACAACAAAATAAAATGAAAGATAACCTGCAGAACTTAAGAAATAAAAACAAACATCAAGAATGATAAAATGAAATTAACAGCAACATAAACATTAAAGTTAGAGCAAAAAAGAGTTATAAAAAATATAATAATTATGAAACAATTATAACATGAGTTAATATAATAATAATTACTAAAGAACTTCCACCCAAGTAACCTTTCTTTCACTGTTAAAAAAAGTTACAAATCAGAGCAAAATTTTAAATACCTTTAAAAATTATAACTTAAAATAAAGAAATTTATTTAATTTCTTCTTTGTCCTACATAAAAAATTAAAATTAGGTGATCAAATTAAATAATATTTTAAACATTAAATAAACAAAACAAATGCTTAAAAATTACTTCCTGTAGATTTCTTTTTCAACTCATAAAAGTTCCGAATACTCTGTTCATTTACACCCGTGTGTATATATATATATATATATGCATAAACGAACCTATTGATCAATGAAGAACTTATAAATTCAAAACTGAGCCCATCAAGTAGTCGAGCAAAGTCGTCATTCTCGAGAGTTTGCAGGCAAGAAAGTGAAGGAAAATATGAGGTGGAGAAGAGAAAAACAGATGAATTTGTTCATTTTGGTGTTGTGATATAAGAGAAGACATGGATCAACGTAATCCTATGAAGTGTTAAGACAGTAATCTACTGCAACAGATACAAAAAAAAACCCCTCTTAGTTTCTTGCTATAAGCTCTCCATCATATGAACTAGAATTTCGAAACAGGATAGCCTAATTCTAAACCCCGGCACTCGGATACTAGGGGTCCCCATTTGTCGAGATGTATCCGACGACGTAGTGCGGAAGATGTTGCGAGTATATTGGAATCCGTTGTTGATCGTAGTCGATTATCTTCCAACAAGCTTTCATTCCTTTCCTGTTTACGGTTTCGGATTGAGCACACTTGGGTAGTTGAGAAGCTTGGACAACAGATAACTCCATTTCTCCGAAAGGGCCTTGATAGCCGGTACAGATATTCCTCCAGAAAACATCCTTCACGGATCCGGTGTCTATGGCATTACTTTTGCCTGGTTGTAAGCCCCAGTAAAAAACGACGTTCGGCTTTGCCGTGTCGATGTCGTTATATTCTGCGGGATTAGGGTCACATATACCCTGTACCTCCTCTAGCTGTGCAATAAGTAAAACCTCATTAAAGAGGAGACCATACCAAAGCATGGACTATGCGGAAATCAAGCTGGGACTTCGAAAATGAGAGACGTTATTCAGCAGACAAATAAACCCCAAACCTAAATGGTCACTGGGAAGAAGCACCCGATTCAACCTTCGAAACCTCAACTACCAAGTATGAAATAGATAACTGTTCTTTATCATGGACCTTGAAAAACAATGACATTCGACTTACTCGTTTGTATCCTAGATGCATCAAGAATATCTCACTCAACTCGCCGGGACCTATCAACAACCGTCCCCCGTTCCCGTAAATAAAAATGAGGTTCGTATAGGAGAAGTGTACCTTGAAAAGAAGACATCAAAAGCGGGACTTTATCCAACCCACCCAGTCTCCGAGTTCATCCTGTTTAGAAGCCGAAAGATAAATTTTGAGAAACCGGGTATATTTCTTAGTGTACGGAAAAGGCTCCAATACATTGTGCCAATCAAAATAAGACTTCAGAAGATCCTGCAAAACCGAAAAACTGTCTTTAATCTGTTGTAAAAGAGTGAAAGAAACGACTTCATCTATAATAGACGATCATATGAAAAAGGGAAGGTGAAAGCTACTTATCAAGCGGGGCTGTTCAGATTTATACGTGGTATCCTTCTTAAATATAATATTTTCCTTCCCTTCTTATTGAGTTTCCTCTCCTCTCATCTGGATTTCGGTGCTTGCAGACAAAAAGAACAGAAGATGAATAATGAAGAATAACTTGTACCTTGGTAAAGCTATGGCCTCGAAGAAACTCGGCTCTGATTTTATAGAATGTGCTTCTGGTAATGTTTGAATGACAATATTCATAAGGACTAAACGGCAACCGGATGGGAATAAATAACCGCTTATCTGTCTGATTTACGGTAGGATGCAATGTTCCGTCTTGAAGCTCTACCGGTGTAGGCCAAGGCCAGAAAGCAAATTTTTTGAAGAAATTTGAAATTAGAGCACTCAAACTGGCATTTGGGCTCACACTGACAAACAAAGGCAGCAAGAATTGCCAAATGAATTCCGCCAAGAAACCCATTTAACTGCAACCAATACATTATTAGTTGGTGTAATGAGCGAAGTAATCATATGCCGAAGAAAAGATGAAGTCGAGCAATAGAAAGCACATTGCACTTACATTACCGTATACTCCTCGTCTCTTTGCCCAAAATTTGACACATCGTAACATCGATTGGAATTTCTAAAATACACCAAGCATTAGAATCACAAACACCGAAAATGCACAACATTCCAAATGAAAAACAGAGTTTCCAGATGGCAGCAAAATTAAAAAGAAAAGAGAGGACAGCTGAAGTACCTCCAAGTTCGGAACAAGCTGACAAATCCGCCTGTTTGCACACACTCCAGACAGGCTTTTCCAACCAGTTTCATCGATATCCCTCAAAAAGAGGGGATCAAAAATGTCTAAATTCTGCAGTTCAAAAGATAAGGCTAATTGATTTTTCGAAACATAATATCTTAATGCAAATATGTATCACTTATGCTTACCTCAGGAACAGCCAACACTTTAAGCTGCACATAGGGAAGATCTATCGAGATTCCATCGAACTCAAAACGCATTAGCGGGACTTTTGCATCCTTTACACGATGAATCTCAGATATCTCGGGTCTACTCTTAAGCATGTTATATAGAACAATAAAGAAATCCTCCTGCATTATTACAAGTACCCATATTTGAAACTATACTAATTCAAAACCTCAAATAGGTATATTAAAGAGAGAAAGTATGAAGCAATTAAATATACTTACGGCCATGGTGGCAAAGTAAGGACCAATACATAAAGCATCGATGTCGGACTCCGAACCATGAACCTGTTCAATAAATCGTTACAATTCAGTCAGCAACAATGACAAGCTATGCTTTACTTATTCTTTTCTTTTCTCTGCTAGTACAGTTCGAGCATCGTTTTGCCTAAACCTACTTCTCTCCCATGTAGTCTCGAGGATGTATTCTTTTGTATCAACACATAACAGCTGCTAAATTCAGTAAGGATAACACATAAAGCATCAATGTCATACTCCGAACCATTAACCGGATAAATAAATTGATAAATTCAGTTGGCAAGCTATGTTCCTATAATCTCTTCTTTTCCAGGTGATTCGAGTACCGTTTTCACCTAAACCCAAACACATAAAGCATTCCTCTGAACCAAGAACCAGAACAATAAATTGTTTAATTATGCTCTCTCGTATCAAACTTGTGCATCTAAGACTTCACTCCTAAAGGGAACCGATCAAACACCGGTTCACTTAGAATTTTACGCCAAAAATGTGCAGTTCCAACCCGGAATTTAATTACTACACTGATCTTGTGGGTGGCAGGACTATGCATACATAGACAGCTACAACTAATTTAGGGAGGAAAGTAAATTCACTTACTCCGAGACCATAAGAGCCGTATGTTAATAAGGTAGCATTACAAGAGGCTATGTCTTGTTTCGGGAGCCGGCGTTGCCAAGCTACTCGCTTAGCCCAGGCCATTACTATCTGCAAGAAAAGGCCATTAAAATTTTCAGCCATTAAAAAAAGATTTAGGAAATGATTCAATGTAATCAAATGAAAAGAGAGGTTAAAGGGTACACTTTTTTAAGGTTTTCAATGACATTTCTCCTTCTTTCTTCTTCTTCAGGCGATGGCACCAGCCCTTCATTCACCATTAACTACAAAATTCAAACATCAAAAATTATTTTGAAAAAATTAATAAAAAAACTAATAATGACATAAATTATGAAACGTAAATAAAGAAAATGTGGGGAAGTTTCATTTTTTTTTTCACCTGAAGAAGTGAACTTGATTTTTCGTCGTCCATATTTTTTGGTTTGAGCGTTTGGGTTTCCTCAAAAGAATTGTGGGAACTGAAAGGGGGGAGTAGTAGGGTGCTGTTGGGGTTTAGTGAGAAGTGGGGACAGACACGCGGCGAGAAATGGCGGCGGATGTGTGTGCTGTTTTTCACCTATGGAACTACACGTGTACTTATGTTTAGTATATAAGGTTTTATTTTTTAATATAATCATTTGTTTAAAATTTATTAATTAATTAATTCATATCGAATTAATTAAGATAGAATATAACAGAAAATCATTATCAAGTAACTCTCTTAACTCAATCTTCTTCATTCACGACATTATAAATCCAACGTATGGTCAGATTTCATGGATGCTAAATTGGGTACTTACCCTTCATTTAGTTGGAGTAATTTAATGAATTGACACAGGTCCAAATTCATGTATAATATTTTAGTTGGCATTTTTATTTAAAAAATAACACTCGGACTATTTTTGAAAGGTTAAAGACCATATTTAACTCTTTCTGAAAAGTTAGGATTAAATTTAACTAAAAATAATAATAACTAAAATGATAAAGTGAAAATATTAAGGGTTAAATTGACTAAAAAATATTAATATTTTCAAAGATAAATTGGGATTCCTTAGCAAAACTTGGAACAATCATAAGCATTAGAGATGTAAAAAATAACTAAGTTCAGTTCTCACATCTTCTCTCTATATCAGCAACAAGGCTACCAACATTTAATGCATAAAGTCTAAGAGAATATGATAAAATCTGTCTAAAAGAAAGTAATCAAAAGGTAAATCCATTAATGTTTTTACGACGAAAACACTGAAGAATTCGGTTGCCAGCAAACAGCCGGCAGCGAAGGCAGGGGCAGTGAACTCCGCTCCTCCTCCGATGAGGTGTTGTTCTTCAGAATATATGCACAATGTCGTAGGCAAATCTATTGGTGTTAAAGAAAGTACCCGACAGGCAAAAAGAATGCAGTAAAAGATAAACCAGAAGCCAGCAAATTTTATTTCCTAAGAATTTCCGGCTCGACCGAGCGTTATTAGCAATTCAAACAAAAACCAGCAGAGGCAATGCAGAATCTACGAATTAATAACTAGGCTTTGATAGCGTGTGCTACTTTGTGTGTCCATGTATCATTGCAAGAAAGAAAGGATACGTCCAAAATAGCACGAATGACTGCAAAAATTTAAAGAACATTGTTAGCCGATGAAAGTTTAGAACATGTAACATGTAGAGTGCAACTCGAAGCCTAAAGAAGCTTACCATAAGTCCACCCATGAAACCATCGAGTATAATCCGGTTCCAGCTATCAAAATATGAATGAACCGAGAATTTTGCCTTTGCTATGAGTCCAATTGAAGTAATTGCCATGACAAGAAAATAAAAGACAAACCCCATAAAGCCTGTGAACCCTAAAATCCCGGCAATAACCCCTCCGATGATAGACATAAATGTTCGGCTGCAAATTGAAACAGAACTTAGATAATGGCATTCGAGACATAATATCACATTGCTGAAAACATGGAAAACAAACCTGTAATATATAACTTTCGTATTATTTTGCATATTCTCTGCGCTAAAAACCAGTACATCGTTCATAGCTTCACTTGATTTCTTCTCAGACGAACTTGAATCACTATGTCCAGCCATAATTTAATATTTATGTGGTCTACAACTTTCTTGAAACAAAAATCCGACAAATGTGTTAACCGTGAATATCATACAAACCACCAATATACTCGATAATTCTAAAGAAACAAAAAGAAAGGAGCAGAGCTCATATACTGCAAGGCAAGAGAGAAACCAAAAAATTTATGTTAGTTAAAATTTATGGATCGAAGGAGCTTCGAGGAGACAACGGGGCCAATGCCCTTGCCAGTCGCCCCTTGGATCCGCCCAAATCGCAAGGTGAATTACCTAATGAAGCAGAAGACAAACACTTGGAACAAAGCATAGGAACATCAAACCCAAGAATCCCAAAGGAACATTAACAAGGCTTTTAGAATCAACTCGAAGAAACAATCAAAAAGCTAGATTTGCTCAAGAAGCAACCAATAGAAACTCAATAATCCAAATTCATAGGCATGTTGGAGAGAACCAAAAAAGAGGTAAACTTTACCATTCCAATAACCCAAGAGAAGTAAGGGCGGCAGGAGATTTTATTCAAAAGAACATGATATATAAAAAATCCAAAATTTGAACTAACTAGAACGAATTACGAAAGAAAACATGAAAAATTAACCTAATCTTCTCACATCCAAGATGATTTAAACCTAGGTATAGTATTAGATCTAAGCATCGACAAATCATTCAAAAACAAATAATTAAATACAATTTCAATAAATTAAAAGCGGATTTTGATAATAAATCACTGTATTATAATCCTAAACAAAAAAATTAAAGAAAAAACTAAGAAAAAGGATCTACCCAGAGGATCGGAGAATATGATGCGAAAGACTTTGCCTTCCTCCTGTTCTGCTACTGAGAATTTACTTCGAGACAGCAGACAGTATTTGTTTTGCACTTCATCATTTTGACCTCACGTATTTTTATTAAATTCATCGTTTTGCCCTCAGTGTTTTTCTAATTACGGGAAAGCCCCCAAATAATATTACATGTAGTTCAAGTCTTTTACAAATTGTGAAGTTTTGTTAAAAGAGATAAAAATTAACTTTTTAGCCCTTGTATTTAGTAATTTTAAACTTAATACCAAAATAAATGTCCAAACTATATTTTTTTTCGAATACATGTCTAAACTATTTTTTGACACGTCTTGATGCCTAACGTTATAAACGTTATCATTTTAGGTGCTCGAATCGTCAACGACATTAATTTTCTCCATTAAGTGACACGTGTCACAATCTGGTGATTTTGAAATTTATTTTAAAAAATATTAAAAATATTATTATATTTAAAAAAACTAATTTCTCTTATATAACAAAAAATCTCAAAACCCTTAAAATCTCCAAATCCTAATCGTAACCCACCGTCGTTGGTCTTTTTCGGCCAAGACCACCATCGCCGACATAGTCCATCACATCCCCCTAGTCATATGACGTCGTAGTTGTCGTCGATTGTTCGTCAGAGTCTTGTGGGATTGTGATTTTGATCATAGGGTTTACGGGGTATAAAACGTTGATTCGTCGTCGATCGGTCATGGTTTCATAGGGGGTTTGTTCGTCAGGGAGAAATGAGGACGGATGGAGCTTCATCGACGGCAAATGGAGGTGGTCGACATGAGTTTAAGGGTTGAAATGAAGGTTTTCAAAGTGTTGGGTTATTTCAAAATTTGTGTTTTATTTTTAAAAATATATATAATTTATTTTTTTAATTTTAAATAAAAAAATTTAAATTACCAAATTGTGACATGTATCACTTAAGGAGGGAAATTAGCACCGTTGACAGCCCGGGCACCTAAGTGGTGACGTTTGTAACATTAGGCACTGAGATGAATCAAAATATAGTTTAGACACTTATTCAGAAAAATCAATATAATTTGGGCACTTATTTTGGTATTAAGCCTAATTTTTATAATATTTTCTTCAATTTATTTTAAATACATTAGCTCTTAAACTTATTTTTTTTATTTTTTTTATTTTTTCGTAATAAAAGAATTATTGTCATTTTTTTTATGATTCGAATTCGAGCACTATGAAAGTAGGGAGCGTGAAAGTTCATAATTACAACCCTTGTGTATCTTCTCCAGTTTTTTATCCACCATATCATGCTTCAATAAAGAGTCAGTCGAATTGGGTTGGAGGTTTATGTGATGCAATGTAATGCACTATAGCGCATTCGACGGAACATGTGAGTGAATGAAATCATATTATACATGATCAACAAGGTACTAATTACAGTGGCCAATTCGAGTCAATGACAACAATGATGATGTCAAATACATTAAGTACTCCATCACTGCATTTTCAATGTGGATTTGAAAGTGGAGTGATGTTCAATACAAATCCTGTTGAAGAAGCAAACGAAGATAAAGACGATCAAGGCGGACGACCAAGACGTAATTGATGAGGCGTCGAGCCCCACACCATTATCATTCGACCACTCACCGACATTGTCAAAAATTATGAAAATATAAATAAATTTTATTAAGCATTGTATTAGTTTGTAAGAATTTATACTATTATTTTGTAATAAGTTATTTTGTATTAAACTATTTTTAAAATTATTTTTAAATTAAGTTCAAAGAAACTCATCATGTCGATGTAACGAGTTTCAACAGTTAAATTTTTTAACATTCAAAAATAACTCGTTACCCAACGACTACTTTATTTTAAATTCCAAGATAACTCGTAACATGATCTCCAATGTTTTTTTTTTAATTTTTTTATTGAATTTAAAAAAAATATTTTTTATGAGATTCATCATGTTGACATGATAAGTCTTTGAGAATATATTATAACATTAGCTCATATGAGACCCACTGACATGTGACAATTAAAAAAATATTTTTTTATAAACTCATTACGTCGACGTGAATTTATCCTACACGTAACATTTATCGTAAATTACAAAATAAAGTCGAAAGTGACTTATTGAGCCAATTAATTTTTCCGCCTATCCTAATGGGCCAAAAAAACCCATGAGACTAATAACGAAAATGGACTTAAACAGATTTAACGACGAATCGTTTGGATCAAAATTAAAATTTTAAGAGTTCAAACCCAACCTGCAATAAAATTTTAAGAGTTTCAGATCATAGTATAAAAAATAATAATAAAATTTGGTCTTATGTAATTTCATTTTGGCCTGATTCGAACCTACATTCCACCGCAACTCTAAACTTGACCTAAATTCGAAATGATATGAATCCATAATGATCCTACCTGAAAAACCCGAACCTCAACTCGAATGACCTAAAACTTAAAACAATTCTAAATCGAAATTGATCCGAACCGAAATTGACCCGAAAATATAAAACCCGAACTTACCAAAACTAGACTGACCTAACCAGCCCAAGCACATTTGACATGTATAATCCACTGATAAGAAACCACCCATTTCAAAGCAAAATCTCTGCTATTGTTATATAAGCTATTGTCAGCTATTCTTTCCATGCATTTTAAATCAGTATGAATATGATCCTCCATATCTACTTTATTTGAAGTTAGGATGAAGAGAAAATGCTATACAAAATCTGCATGTTTTATGCTTCAACGGGACTTTCTAATCATCAATGCTGTCGATTCGCTTGACGGATTCTTACCATTGTTTCTTTCCTTTCTTCTTTCTCTTGTTTCCGCTCCCGCTACCACCGCCGCCCATATTGCTACCACCAGCCTTTGAGCCACTTCCGGGTTTGGCGGCTGGGCTCTCCGCAGAGGTGCTACCTATAAAATTGTCAAACATGCCTGCTTGTACTGCATTATGTAACCACTCCACAAATTCTGCCTCTGCCATGGTTTCTTCGGGATTAGGCGTTGGTATTTTCCCGCCTCTCTGTCCGGAACTACCCTTGCCGGTACTATGCTTGGATGTCAAACTAGTGTTGACGTGAAAACTTGGCTTATGCGTGTTCGGTGGACATCTCATTCCCTGCAATAAAATCCAGCAGCATTCAACTGGTTTATCCACAACTAAAGAGGTTTTAAGAGAGTCTAAACAGAGGATGCAGATTGCAAGAGCGTCGAATGAAAATTCTAGCATTGTTTTGAACTCCAGAGATCTTCATATTAACCAGTTTCCGGTATGTACTTCAAAAAGTTCATTTGTAATGGCCAGAGATTACTTGCTTAATAAAGGGATGCAAGACAAATATCGGTTTACCTGACAAATATACCATTCCGTAGCATTATAAATCTTACTATCGGCACAAACATAGGCAGAGGGAGCATCCACCTACACCAATAACGAATAACTATAATGTAAAGATGCAGAATAAAATCTTAAGATTTAAAATATCGACCTGAAAATCCGAAAAAACTCAACCCTAAACCAGGCGGTTTTGTTTTGGGGCCGTAACTGTGTAAATATTTTAGAAGTGATCCCCATTCTAATTTTCAATTGTTTTTCAAGAGAATGTATAATTGATTGTATGTTGAAACAAAGATGTATAAAAATCGGAAAAAATAAAATATCAGCGTGTGACGAGGGACGGAAAGTACATACCTTCTGCAATAACCCGAAAAGGAAGGGCTGTGAAGATTGTTCAACCCATCCATCTCCGTCTTTTGCTTGATGAAAATCTTTGCACTCCTTTAGACAATATTCCAGAAACATAAATAATTCATTGTGAGGGACAGGACACCATATTATCGAAATTGGGATCTCGTGCTCAAAGGACAACTTAAAAAGTATAGATGATGATTTAGGAGGAAAAGGAAATACCTGGCACCATCTTGCTCGAGATTTTGATTTCTTTGTCTGTATCCAGACATGAATGTTACCGCATTTTTTGCAGGCAATTCTCCTAGGTTCTCCGAACACTTCCTCGCCATCAGCATCTGACCATCCAAATCCAGAACCATGTTGATCATACTGCGCAATCAAAAGCAATAAAAAGGTCAAGTACTATACAAAGATTTGACAAACCTACTCAGAAATATATATATCAAACTTCAAGTAAGAAACTTGAACATGATAGACATTCAACCTTTATATTTTTAGTTAAGAACGCGGAGGGCATGTGTTCAAACCTTTTGAGAAGCATTTTGAAACCGACGGAAATAGTTAAACAGCTCCTCCCTCCTAAGTTCATCATCATATGCTTTTTGCTTTACGGAATCAAGTAAGACCTAGATATGAAATTGTATTATTATTCTCAGAAATGAAATGAAAACCATATCCAGTGAAAAACATAGTAAACCGAGAGATTACCTCATATGCATTTTGAAGTTTTTTAAAAGCTTCCACAGCCTTCTCATTTCCCATGTTCTTATCAGGATGGACCAGCATTGCCTATCAAAGCAAAATTCAGTATCAGATATGCATTGTTCCTTTTTATTATGGTAAGTAAACAATTGGAAAAAAGCAACAAACGTTGGATATCAAAGTGTAAGCTGATCCAACGGAACTTTCGTAGAAGCTCACTCGGATTTATTAAGAACAAGACCATAACAAGTAGAAATATGATGTATGATGGTATCCAAATAGTGTGAAAATTACTTAGGTGGTACCTTTTTTCTATATTCTCGCTTCAGTACATTAACATCGACGTTCTGATATCTCGACAAACCCAATGCAGAATAGTGATCAGTGCAGTTCAACAATCGAGCAACTTCTTCTTCAGAAGTTATCTCGGTATCAACCCCACTACTTGAAGCCACCCCAGGACCACGATCTTCTGAAAACCCCGGAGCATTTTCAGAGAAAGAAGCGTGCATTCCATTTGTGTGTTCTGGGTTTACATTAGGTTTTGCTTGCTGATTTATGTTGTTCTTTAGGTAGTAGATCAAAACATCACTTGAGATAAATGATAGGTTTAGAGCCACAAGCAAACCGAGCCATCCGCTATACATCCAAGCACAATATACAGAATATATAGTGGTGATAGTTAATGCAAGACGCTCATGGCTAAATGAATATGCCAATCCTGAACAACAGCAAGCATTAGAATTCCATACATTTGAAAGAATTAATTTGCAGATGGAAAAAATACAATCGAAAGAGGAAGAAGTAATCACCTCCGAGAAAGATCACAAGAAGAGTTGTCCAGAAACTTCCGTACAACCACAGGAAAATAGATCCAAAAACAGCTACTACCAACATCGCTAAAGTAAACCCGATAAAAACCACTGTCATAGCAGCTATGACCTGTGTACCCAGCATTTAAAGAAGTATATGCAGAATTTGTCAATAGCTCAAGAAATTTTTCCGAAGGATCAATAAATCATTGTTAAACAATTAAACAAATTTAGGCAATCGATAGCTAAAAAAACATCCAGAATATCAAATAAAATACTTGTGAAAACATTTTTATGCAGTCGATTGTTCGTGGGATTCGTAAAATGCAAATTGAGGCAGCGGGGTCATGGACAAAGAAACCTTAAGAAAAACAAAGATGAGATGCAAACAGAACTTACCAAGAGAATAAGAAACTTCAACATCCCAACCATTGCAAACACTGAGAAAATACTGCACCATATGACTGAAAAAAGTGACGTTGTACCCATTCGGAGAAAGGAATCAATGCCCCTAAGAGTACAGTCCAACCAGATTATTGACAAAAGAAGCATGATATTTCCAAAATGCCTAAGCCATGTCAACACAATGGGATATAATCGCTCAACCTTTACTTTGACATGATCTCGAGCATTACACACTTTAGCTGTTAGGGAAATGAAAATTGGCCTTAACCTCTCGAGCCACAGGTTTATCACATTCCAGGTGGATGCAGCAGATGCTCTCGCTGCTGCTCTCATATTTCTTACCGCCACATAATCTGAAAACTTTACATTCTCCATCGCATCTTGAAGGTGAAAATCATTCAACAAGCAGCCCCAAACTCCTTTTTTGTGTTTTGGATGAAGATTTCCATCAGGTGATATTTCATTTCGTTCCCTTCTAATTGAAGCTTTGTCTGAAGCAGCATTTTCAATGCAATCCCCAGAATTACTACCGGAAGATATTGATAGACCACGACCCTCAGCTGCATCATCATGCTTCTCTGTTGTTACGGATATCTCAGGATCCTGCCTATATTTATTATCAGTCCCAGATAGATGACCATTGCTAAAAGTCTCGGTTAAAGTACTATCTGGTGGATTACCATTTGGTAGTTCCTCTCCATCAAAAACCATTTTCTTATTTTCTTTTCCTGTCCCTTTCGCATTAGAGACTCGATAGCCTGCCTCCGTACCGCTTTGTTTCCCATTCTTCTGCTGATTACCTTTCCGAGCCATGAAATTATAATAGCCTGTCGCTTCCTTGAAAACGGAAATCGTTTTAAGCTATCCCTAGCCTATCAAGAGAACCATGGAAGATGGTTTTGGGATTTGACATTAAAAAGATCAAGTTCTCCCCTAAACAAAACATTGTACCTGCCACCAAAGAATGTACACAGTTAGCCTATACATATATATTTAAAGTGCATAAACAAAGCATTTATGAGGATTTCGATGTTTCCATCACTCGATATCACACATAAAATTAAAACAAAAGTGGTCTGATGTTGCGAATTGAGGAACTACCAGTTTGACATAAAGTACCATATCAAGCACAAGTTCCACAATTTCCATAGAACTTCAACAACTAATTAGATGGAAAATTATGTACTGGGGGGGGGGAATAAAACCTTGCTTGCAATTTCTATGAGTAAATTAAGTTCACTTTTACTTCCATTCCCAGTAATTAAAAATCGACTTCTCATCAATACGTTACAACTAATACAAACCTGAAAAACAGCTAAATTAAAACCACACAGACAAATCAATCATACAAGAAACAAGAACAAAGAAATTCCATTTGGGAATCCAAAACACAACAAAATTTCGCAAAAGAACAAGGGAAATTATCAAACAAAAACAAAGAGTTGACATTTAATAAAATAAAAGGTAGGCAAATGGGCAATTACCTTGAACCAGGGCAACCGGGGAAGTGAAGTGACAATGAAGAAGAAGAAATGAGAGATACCCAACAAAGAGAAGATCAATAAAAAGCCCTAAAAAATTGGGAATTAAATGAGCATCAAAGGAAAGGGGTCAAATAAAGCGTGATATTCTTTTGTTCTTAAGACCGTTTCTTTGATTCTTTTCCCCACTAATTGAAAGCAAAAAAAGGGTATTTAAATTGAAGGGAAATTATTATAATTTAAGAACAGAATATGGGGGCCGCAAAAAAGAGTGTGTTTTCAACACGAAGCTCAAAGATGAAACTTTGTGTGTTCTTCCAATCCCAAGACAGAGAAAGGAAAAGTTATTGTTGGTGGGGACTGTTTGGTTGGTTGCTGCTTTTTTGTTCGTGTTTTTCTTATTCCTGGGTAATGTAAATGTTATTCTTCTGGCAGGCATTTGGTTTAGGGTTAATATGTGTACAACTTCAGTCTTAAACCGGTATCGAATAATTATTTGTTTTAATTAAAATTTTATATTTTGTTGGTACATAAATCTAATGTAAACTACACGGGTGACACTGAACTATGACTATAAATCATTTTGACCATTAACGTTTGGAAACGATCAATCAGACTATCTAATCATTTAAATAGTTCAATCAAACCATTCCACCTTAAAAAATAACGACATGCCCGACGTAACTTTTCCATAACCTTTTTTATTTTCATGTTGGATATCTACAAGCCACGTCAGAATGCCACTTAAGAAAAAAAAACCCTAACTCTTATTTAAAATATTCATATTTTAAAATTCTCTCATTCTAAAACCTTAAAGTAGCTGTTGAAATAAGAGAAAGAAAGAGTAACGCCAAGGAAGAAGAAGAGTAAAGAGAAGACTAAAATTAAAACATGGATTCAGAAAATACGAATCAGATGTGCTACCGTGGATTTCGTTTGACAGTAACAACAGGATGGACCGACGAAAATCTTAGTAAGAGGTTTTGAGGCTGTTAAAATTATGAAAAAGGGGTTAGGGTTTGCAAGTTCTTTTGCTGGTATAATCCATCAGTAAATTTTTGTCTAAAATTGTTATTATTGGGTTTTTAAGAAAGATTGAAGCAATGGAGTAAGAAGAAAGAAAACGTAAACTTCGGTGAATTTTTACTTCTTTTGTTTTCTTTGTGGGAACGATAGTTGAAATTATTACCAGTTAATTATGTTATCTTCTTTTCTTTTCTTACTTTGTTGTCACTAATGTTTGTGGGAATGATTTAAGATAATAATTTGATGTCTTATTTTTCTTGTCTTCTTTGTGGGAGTGATTTATGTAATATATTTTATCAATGTTATGCTTTGTTAGTTGGATTTAAATTTGTCTTAAAAAGAAAACATTCAAAAAAATATTATTGCATTCATTTCAAGGCCAAAATATGACATACATCATTGTTTAACCAATATACATAAACAAAAAAAGATATTTCCATACCAATTCTGTAAGCATATATAAGCTCTTTTCAGCTATCGACAAAAAACCTAATAGTATCAATTAATCAAAACACAATGGTCAAATGTATATGATCAAGTGCACTAGTAAGAAAAATCAAACAAAAAACTTATGCTATCAACAAATCAATAATTACTTTTATGCATATTTGGAGATGACTGACACTACAACAAAATAAGATTTTAGCAGTGTTTTTTAGTTCTATAGCGGTGTTTTTAAGCGTGCTAAAAACTTTCCCGACACTAATAAAAAGCGCCTGCCACAACAGTTTGTGAACAAAAAATGCCGCAAAAGGTCAAGACCTATAGCAACGTTTTCGAAACAAACGCCGCAAAAGGTCAAGTTCTATAGTGGCATTTTGGAAACAAACACCGCTAATTAACTTGTTTGTTTGTTTTCTCAAACGTCGGTATATGTTATGATATATAACAACTTTTATGATAAAAAAATGTCGTCATTAGTGGCGTTTCCTTCCCAAAGCGCCGCAAAAGAACGCCGATATGATTAATTGGTTTTACATATATTAATTTCTACTCTATATAACCTAAATTTAATATCATGTAGCATTATCAAGCTTAAAATTTAATTACGACAAAACTTATGTAGAAAAATACTTAACAACAAAATAAATTAAAATTAAATGTAATGTAGTTTAACATTGTTCACTATACTTTAGTCTAGGTTCTTTCTCTTTCAATTAAAAAAAATATTGTTCACTAAAATAAATATACAAAACATTCTTCAAGTGGTAATTTTGAGCAGTAATCTGCAACTTCGATTGATTAATACTCCATTTGACTTCGAGTATTCGATTGGGGAATGTAAATTAGTAATCTACAAAAAGAAATGTGCTAATTAGTTCCAGAATAGGTGCAACAGAGGTACATGATTAACTTTAATCGAAAACTTTGTATTTGAACTTGGGAATCAATCAAGATAAACTATAAAATCCAAAGTAGAATCCTATATCCACAATCAACACTAGCTGTTGTTTCAAGACCCTTCAATAACCAAAGAACGAGTATTCTATATCAACAAGAAACAATTGTGATTCAGGGGTCCAGTAAGTTTTATTCATGAATTAAAGAAAGCAGGAGGACGATGAACCTGCTCGGAGTATGGTAAGTACTTCCCATCGAACGTGACAACAACATGTTCTTTCCCATCCATGACAGGAGCAAGTTTACAGTGGCCTCTATAGTAAAGAAAATTTTAATAAAAGAAAATATAAAACAAATAATTAGTGCTAAATAGCAATGCAGTGACTGAGCTTTGATCCTTGATAATGTACCCAAACTAATGCAACGAGCGTCACACAAACTAAAGTATGATACCACTTTCAACTTAAACCGAAGGGTTAAGAGTATTTTTGCAAGACTCTTGCTAAAGATCTCGAAAATATGGCTTACCATCAACAATGTTGCAACATCAGGCTGCTCTTTCATGTTGTCAAGGATCCCCTCTGATTGTTTCCTGGAAGTAAAATCCCAAGATGGTCTAAATCATTTATAATATTACCCTGCAACTCTCCGCCCACTTTGGACAACCAATAAATAAACCCCAGATGCTTGAAATTGTTGCTTCAATTAAATAAAGAATGAATATTATATAAGTTATTGAATCAACCTAGAAGAACTTTTTTTGTACATAATTAATGTACACCCAGTTTTCATTTCTGAATTCCAGTTAAGTTCCAGATGCTAACTATAACAATCAAAGACAACTCCTAACAAACAAGAACATGCACTTGAAGGTATAGTTTTGAATGTAATTCAGCTCATAAGAAAGGGAAAAAATGAAAAATTACTTCATATGTAGAATGCAAAATATTCAAATAAGTAGATTCTCAACATCAATCTACGATAGGTAGAATGCAAATTTCCAAATATATTTGTAATTAAACTCACAAGAATCATTTATTGATAATTGGGATAAATGAAACAGAATTTCTTAGATAATGTACATAATGTGCCAATCACATCACCTTGCAATGCTTGTGAAAAATCCAGCCCTCACCAAGCTCAGTCTTCATCGTCTTCACAACCTCTTGCACCTGCTAAAGCAACATTATTGCAATGAAGAACCCCATAATCATCTAGTCCAGATAAATTATATAAGGTAAACTATGAGATAATAATAAAAAAAAATCTTGACCTCTTGCATTTGCCCCTGCCAGTAAACAGAACTTTTAAAGAATTGACCACACAAGTGGTAGCAATCAAAAATCTAAAGAATTGACCTCTTGGAGACTTGTTAACTTTTGGGGTCCTTGCATGATTAGAATTTTTATCAGAATTTGTTGTCGAAGCTTCAATACACAAATTAGATGGCGTGTTCTCTGCTCCTAGTCTATTATCACCATCACCTATATAATCACCACAAATTTCAGAACGATGGTGTTTAAGGACTTTAAACATAAAAATCTGGGCTTAACCAAGTACAGATTGCTTAATTACCATCATTATGAGGCTTTCCATAGTTATGCTGCACTGCTTCAACAAAGGAACTGTCCCTTTCATCTTGCATTACTAAGAAAACAACCCAAAAATTACATAATTTCAGTCACTGATGATATGTATATTGATAGAGATGTCAGCTCTTACATTGATCGAAAAGTGCATGTTGATAATTCGAGCCGAACTGACGAGAAGAAGTTGAATTGCCTCGGTATCTCTAGCCATGGACAGTTTAGAATAAACATTCAGATTTTGCGTGTCTAAAAGAATTCCAGAAAGCTGTAAAAGAAGAAAAGAAACAAGTTTAGAATCCCAGACAAGAATTTTCAGTTTAACAAAGGTACTGTGTGAAGAATATGGTGGATGTAAATTTACCAAAAGCTTTTTCAGCATTGGGGTTTGCAGTAGTTCATAAGCGTCTTCACAATAATTATCTGTTAGAAGCATACACTGAGATCCAACCTATAAAAAAACCAAATTGGTTTACACGAGATTAAAAAAGAACTGTGCTCAACTGCTCTTCTTATTTAGATTTCTCCTAATCGTCAGTCAGAAAATTCAAGAGACAAATTAAAAACCTATACATGAGATTATTAATCATTCAGAAATTAAAACATAACAGGGGAGAGGAAGAGAGAAACGCACCTGAAAAGAAACAAAAGTATCGTAAGTGACGGGAACTCCTTGAGCTGGTTCAAGGCGTCGACGCATCTGGAAACCACGTGGGAGTTGGAGGAAACGGCGTCGGAGGCGGCCAATTGGCGGCTTTCTTGAAGGCATCGAACAAATGCAGCAGCTCCTTCACTTTTCTTTTTTGGGAGGAGATGTTTTTTTACGAGAGGGTGGGGGAGATAAAACATAACAAGGGAGAGGGAATGGACGGTCTGAACGTTGTGCATTTGATTTTACAAACGCTATTTAGTACTCATTTTGTGGAGTTTGCTTCATAAACGCCACTAAAAGCACATGTTTACATTTTTAAAAAACGCCACCCTTTATTAATTTATTGCGGCGTTTTCTAAAACGCCACTAAAGATACATGTCTATCGGTCTTCGTGCAAACGTTGCTACTATTGTCATTTAGTGGCATTGTTATTATAAACGCTGCTAAATATTAAAAATTAGTGGCATCTTCTTAAAAAACGCATCTAAAAGTGTCGTTATATACCAAGTTTGGTGTAGTGTGTCTGGCAAAAGAATCCTGACTCATGTGAACTGTGGGGGTGGGCATCCACCTAATAGTATAACCTTGTGAAGGTGGTTGTGACCTTGGACTGGTTCTTTAATTTTGCATCTAAGCTTGACGAGGAGATGACTTAGTGACACAACTATCTAGACTCATATGGACAGTGGGAGTGGACATTCATCTGACAGTATGGATCCATGAATTGGTTATCTAATTTTGCATGCTAGCTTGATTTG